TTGCCAGACTTTTCTTCCTAGTCTGCCTCAGTCTGGAAGTGCCACTGAACCCTGTTAAGCATCATGATAAGACACAAGTCTCCGCTGTCAGATGGGTGGTGGCTTTGAATGAAGTCCACTGACCAGGGTTGGAATCTGAGCCCCCCATATGGAAGGTGAGAATTTTACCATGGAACCACCAGTGCCCGCCTTTTGCTGTTAGTCTGGGAACATGCCGTGGAGATGCTGCGCAGCACACAGAGCCAAGGGAGAAGGGAAAGGCTATCACTGTACCTTGAACAAGGAGACCAGGTAACTTGAGGAGAGCTTTCAGTTGAGGCTTCCCTTGGGGCTTTAAGCTGTTTGCCAGGTAACTCGACCCTAGAGTCAGAGAGATGCTTGTCATTAATTTTTTTCAAATGTATACTGTGTGTGGTGCAGGTGTCTGATGTTTCCGCTTTGGTAGATTTCACTTGATATTTGATCATTCATTACAAAAACAAATCTGTCAACAGCAGCATCTATAAAAGCATACCTTACCCCTGACAGGAAGAGCCTCTGTGTTTCAGGGTTTATTTATGGTGCTCTCTGGTCCTGAATCCTAATGTGGCGCTGTAGAATCAGCATTGGACTGCTAACCTCAAGGTCACTGGTTCAAACCCACCCACAGCTCCTTGGAAACTGTATACAGGGTTGCTGTGAGTTGGAACCGACTTGAAGACATTTAACAATAGTAACAACTGGTCCTGGTGTCTGTTTGCATGTGTCTGATGGCTTGGGCATGCTTGCTCAGTTTGGGGAACCAGCTCTTGTGCAGCAGCCCTGAGGGAAAGTGCATTCCACTGAGCAGCACTGCCCACAGCAGCCTGCGACTGTCACCACTTTGGGTGGGCTGTACCAGGACCCCTGTGACTCTCACTTTGGGTGGGCTGTACCAAGACCCCTGAGACTCTCACTTTGGGTGGGCTGTACCAGGGCCCCCGTGACTCTCACCACTTTGGGTGGGCTGTACCAGGACCCCTGTGACTCTCACCACTTTGGGTGGGCTGTACCAGGACCCCTGCTCTGACACTGATTTAGTCCCTTGTTGGCTTGTGTCCCCAAGTCTGAGTTTCCAGGCAGATTATGCTCCGGACAAATGTTACACAATTTTACTCAAACATGTTGCTGTTACTTGCCATTGAGGTGGCTCTGACTTGTGGGAACTCCACGTACAATACAGCACACATCACCCGGTCCTGTGTCGTTCTTACGATCACCTGCATACTTGAGTCCATTGTGGTAACTTTGTGTATTTTAAGTTACTTCCAACCTAGGGGCTCATATTCCAGCACTTTATTAGACAGTATTATGTTGTTATCGATAGAGTTTTCATCGACTGAGTTTCAGACGTAGATCACCAGGCCTTTCTTCCTAGTCTGTCTTAGTCCGGACACTTGTCTGAAACCTACTCACTCTGGTTGACCCAGCTGGTATGTGAAATATAGGTGGTTTAGTTTGCAGCATCTTAGTAACATGCAGACTACCACAGGATGACGCAACTGACCGTTGGGTGGTGGGATCAAACATAATTTTGAGTTAAATAAAATGAGTTAGATTGGCTGTGAGCTGCCTACCAAGGTGCTTGTGTGCTCTTTGGATTCATATGTAGCGTGGGTGTGGATGCCCATGTGTAGACTATTGCAGATGTGAGTCCGTTATCCTCGGAGAACTTACTGCTAACCTCCGTCAATGTTATGACTCTAAGGTTGTGGTACGAAAAAGGGACCTTTTAGCTTTTCTAAAGGTGTAGTTGAGCATCTTTACTTTTGTGCCTTAGACGATTATAGACAGTTTGAGTATCCAGTCCCATTCCTCCTTTAAGCTCTGCTGTGCCTGACTCCTCTACTCTCTCCATTGAGAGAGTAGTGTCAACATTGTAAGATGGCCTGGAATGCTCGGGAGATCCGTAGAAGAGAAACAGACACGTTGTTTGCCTGTGCTGTTCCCTGAGATGCCAGAATTGGGAGAGGTTCTCAGTGTCTTTTTGTTGTCAGAGTGTGTTGATGTTGAGCCCTGGCCAGAGACGTTAATGATCAACCTGGGAGCATGTTTTTGAAGCTGAATTTCCCCAACTTGTCAGCACAAAGTCTATGTTTTTGTCTGTATTTCAGGATGGACAGACTAGCTGGATTGAGCTGGGGCACTGTTTGAGAATAGCAACATCCTATAAAGACTTGCTCTGTGGGTTCATGCGCTGTACTGCAAAATTGATTTGAACTGCAAAGTCAGCGGATCAAGCTCACCAGCAGCTCCGCGGAAACCCTATGCTGGGTCGCTGTGGGTCAGAACTGACTGTATGGCACTTCACAACAACAACAACATAAACACCTGTATAGCAGCGAGTCCTGGATCTCTGGGCCTGAGATTCTAGTTAGGGAGAAGAGATACAAGACATCTCAAAACATAATCAACACTGCAAGATACTATTGATGATAAGCAAATCAAGTGAAATGTGCTTTGTAATTTATCATCGTTTTTATGCAAATCACGCCCGCCTTTCAGTTTGCTTTCCCACTAGCCTCCTCCTACCCCCAGCCCAACCCTAGACATTTTTGTAAGCACAGTAAGGTCAATTGTTTTGGATGCTGATTTAAAGAAATAAAATTAGTATAGTGCATTTCAAAAATCTGGAGTGGGTGGAAGTTGGAGGAGGGAGCAGCCGGCAAGCAAATGTAGAAGACTGTTATTTGCATAAAACTGTAGTATGTTATTCTTTCTGGAAACTTTTGGTGAATTCCTGCTGGGGCACAATCCATTACACAATGAAACCACGGCAGGAGCTCAGAGGAACTGCCTTGCTAGGGCTCTCAACTTTTATGCCTCTAAGGGCGCAGACTTATCATTTCTGCGTTGTTTGTCTTAGTGGAAAAGATTTGAGTTTTCCTTCACTGACAGGTTCACACCTCACAGTTTCCAGCTTTCACGGATTTTACAAAATACTGGGGCCATCCACAGGTAGGTAAGAAAGTGCGGAGAGTCTAGGAAGTCAGATGTTCGCAGATGTACCCAGAAGGCTTCAATCAGAGATAGTTTGGGATAAATGACATTAATGGGATCAGAGTCCTGGGTTGGCATTGGATGGTAATCACTGAGCTGCAAGGTTGGTTTGAACTGCAGGAGCAGTGGTTCAAACTCACCAGCTGCTCCTTGGCAGCCATATAGAGGGTCAGTATGAGTCAGAACTTGCTTAACAATTAGAGAGTTTAGAGGGACCGGAACACTATGACTCTGTAGGATAAACACTGGACTGTGGACCACCAGGTTGGCATTTCGAGCTGCTCCATGGGAGAAACTCTGCGGGAAGTCTGGTATGGCCGGTGCTGTAGGATAAGCACTGGGTTGCCCACCGCAAGGTTGATGCTGCAAACTCACCAGCCACTCCTTGGAAACCCGTATACAGGGTAACTATGAGTCAGAACTGACTTGACTGCACTTAACTTTGGGAATGAGTTTCTTTTCTCCAGAAATTATTATAATCCTGTTTTGCATTTGGGTGACCTTTCTTTTTTTTAATTACTTCCTGAAATGAGTAAAAACCTTATGATCTCTTTTTCTTTGGCTACTTCCTGAAGTGAGCAGACACTTTACAATCTTTCTTTTCCTTTGACTATTTCCTGAAGTGAGACGGGACTTTATGACCTCTCTTCTACTTTTCACTATTTCCTGAAATGGGAATGCGCACCTTAAAAATTTAAAGTAGCCAATCGGGTAAGGAAAAACACTGTGCAGCGGAAGCCCTAGCCAGTGGGGTGAGACACGGCCTTAAGACTTGCGTCAGGGATTAAAAACCTGAGTGGACTGCCCACTCGGTGTGCTCGCTGGCCTGTACTGTACGGCTATGCGCCTGCACCCTCTTGCAGAAGTAAATTTTGCTTTGCTGAGGTAATGTAGTCTCACCGAGTGTCTTTTGTGCAACATCGGAATTCATTTCTAACGTAACGACAACATACTGCTTAGAAGGTGCCATGTTGATGTAGTGGGTTATGTGTATGAGAAATGAACTCCGATGTCACCCAAGAAGACACTTGGTGAGACTAAATTACCTCGGCAAAGCACAATTTACTTCCGCAGAAGGGTGCGTGCACTAGCTGTATAGAAACAGGTTAGTGAGCACACTGGGAAGGGCAGTCCACTTGGGTTTTATCCCTGACGCACGTCTTAAGGCTGTCTCTCACCCCATTGGCTGGGCCTTCCGCCGCACAGTCTTCTTCCTTACTCAGTTGGCTAATTCAAATTTCTAAGGCATGCATTCTTCTTACTCACTTCAGGAAATAGTAAGAAGTAAAACAAAGATCATACCATCCCTATTTACTTCAGGAAGTAGCAAAAAGTAAAAGAAAAGTCACCCAAATACAATAAACAGGATTACGATAATTTTGAAGAAAAGACACGTGTTGGGCTGCTGATCACATGGCTGACTCTTTGAAGCCATCAGCCATGCCATGGGAGAATTTGTTCTGCAGAGATTTACAGTCTCTGGAGCCCTGAGCTGGGTTGTTGTGAGTCAGCTCTTTGGACCTTAACAGCAACAACATACTGCGTAGATATGCATAGACTATGTCATCAAGATATCAGTGGTAGGTATTTTATTTCAAAAGCTCTTCATAGGAACCAGCAACGTAACTTTCAGTTTGACACAGAAACACGACAGGACTCGGGCTGCTTGCCTTGGTCTTGCATATTGTGATTGTTTGCTTGAAGAGGTTTTGTGGGACTTGCTTCCAGTTTGATGGGACTAGGGTCTCCTGTAGTAGAGAGCGTAGTGCCCTGTGCTTCCTCTGGTGACACCTAATTAGACAGACAGTGGGACCTTGGGTTGGTCATGTTTTTTCTTCTGGGTATCTTGTTCTTCGTCTCACCCAGTACCAGCCACACTTGGGTTTTAGGATGTCGTCTGCAGAAAGCATGGGTAGCTGTGGCTGGGGGGCACCCTGTGAGATATAACTAAGCCTCTCCCTTTCTCTTCTTCTCCCCACTAGGGAGGGAGCAGTTCCACGGGCTGGGCTCCATGTACTGCCGTGGAGCAGCCGCCATCATCCTCACCTACGATGTCAATCACCTGCAGAGCCTGTTGGAGCTGGAGGACAGGTTCCTGGGCCTAACAGACACAGCCAGCACCGACTGCCTCTTTGCCATCGTGGGAAACAAAGTGGACCTCAGTGAGGACCAAGAAAAAGACGAGGTCAGCTCTGAGCAGGCCAGCAGCAGCTGCGTCTCCACCAAGGTGCCCAAGCAGGTTAAGCTGGAGGATGCGGTGGCACTTTATAAAAAGATTCTCAAGTACAAAATGCTGGATGAGAAGGACGTGCCGGCTGCTGAAAAAATGTGCTTTGAGACCAGCGCCAAAACTGGCTACAATGTGGACCATCTGTTTGAAACCTTGTTTGATATGGTTGTGCCAGTGATTTTACGACAGAGAGCCGAGGGGCCACCGCAAACTGTGGATATCAGCGACTACAAGCAGCCCAAACAAGCGAAGTCTGGGTGCTGCGCCTGACTTTCCGAGGGCCTTTGTGACTTCGAGCTTGCAGTGTGAGCTAGGGTGCCGTGCGCTGGTCAGAAGGAAGCATACAAAGCAAACCAAAGACAGTTTACGGAGCAGTGCACGAAGGAAAGATTCTGAGCACAAATGACAGCTGTTTACTGCGCGAAAGCCAGTGCGGGGAGTCTCCTCCATCTACATCTGGTGTGTTAGGAGGTGGGAAATCAAATTAAACTGTCCATTAAAAGCAGTCTGAAGAACCAAACTACTTGGCCCTCCCTCCTAGCCTGCTGCTCCGTGATGGAATTTGCAGTCCTCTGACGTCTCTTCCTCCCACGCACATGGGAGCTTTGCAGTGTGTCTCACCTGACCAGGCACACTCCCTTGTTGTCACGCTATACAAGCTTTTGTCTGTTGTTGTTCACAATCATTTCTCTTCACTGTGATTGATATTTGGTCCTATTCTTTGGTACTGGTATTTTTTATGCATTTACAGTAGTGACTCTCTACATGTTAATTTATACAACATCAGGAATAACTGTTTTTATATTGGTTGCAGCAGCCATGAACTACATACATTATTAAACAAGATTTTGGGGGAAATCTTGGTGTTGATGTTTTATTGACTGAGGTTCCATTTGCACCTACATTGAACTCCTGCTTGGGTAGCCCCTAGGAGATGGCATTGAGCATGGTACTTCTTCTTTAATGCTCCATCAAATCTTTACCAATTCCATAATATTTAGATTGGTCCATTGGCCTAAATATGACACGATCCCTAATAATAATAGTGGTGCTGGTAGTGATGTGTCTTTGAGTTGGTTCTGACTCATAGCAACCCTGTCTAGGGTTTCTGAGGCCGTTAATCTTTATGGGAGTAGAAAGCCTCATCTTTCTCCCAGAGGGTGGCTTATGGATTCAAACTACTGACCTTGTGGTTACCAGCCCAACGCGTAACCCTCAGTGCTACCAGAGCTTCTTTCCAAAGATAGGAACAGAACTGAAAGCTCTCTTTCTGTTAAAGTCAGTTTAAGGACTGAATCAGACACCTCCCTCCCAGCTCTGTTGGAGGAGATGGGTGGGCTGCTTTGTTACTGGAAGACGCTGAGACAGAGAAGTTGTAAAACAACCATTTCTGTTTTCTTTGAAATTTAACTGAAAACAAGTAGGCTGGAAATGATGGCGAAGTTAGGCAAAAGGCTAGTGAGCAGAACAATGAGTTTGAGTCACTTAATTATGGAGTAGATGGGCTCGCCATAGAAGCTCCCTGGTGGTGCAGTCATTAAGCATTCCACGGCTAACAGAAAGGTGGGTGGTTTGAATCCACCAGCAGCTCCCCAGGAGAAAGCTGTGATAGTCCCCTTCTGTAAGATGACAGCCTTGGGGATTGGGGGCAGTTCTCCTCTGTCCTGTGTGTCAGAATTGACTCCATGGTAGTGTGTTTTGGGGGCTGTCATGAGTTGGAATCAGCTTCATGACAACACGTTTGGTTTTGGTTTTCAATACTTTTGTGGAATGCCCATGATCTCTAGTTACTGAACAGCCAAAGGCCCAACGCCTCTACTCCTGTGACGTGAGCATTTCTGAGTTAAGTGACAGACAGCCCAGTCTGTACAGTGACCACTGGTACAGACTACTGCCTGTGTTTGGAGCCTGCCAATGAAGTACTATCTTGAGATTTAAAACTTCAGCTTCCCAGCCACAGCCCATTGAAAAGTCAAAAGGGATCAGCTTGGTGAATTAGTTTTCACTGATCTTAATTTGCCACTGTGTGGACAGAAGTTAAATTTATTTTCCATAAAGCACACCTCTGCTAGTGACACACTTAAGAAACATTTTACCAAGAAAGACCTTGGACTCTTTCTTAAAAGGTGATGGAATGAGGATGGCGGCTAGGGTGGAGGTTCAGTGAAGTTTACTGTCAGCCATACCACAGAATACCAGGCAAAGCAGATCCAGGGCAGAGCTCCAAAACTCGGAACCACAGAGCTAGGAATATTTTAAAAGTTTGAAGGCTTATAGCTAGCGGAACTTGAAGCTGAAGTTAGAAATCATATACTTTTGAAGCTGCCGGGCTCAGAGACCCATGGCCGACATCTTGGGCGAGACCAAACAGCAAGACCAAATAGGGGAGCAGACACACCATGGAAAAATGCTGCGGAAACCTTGGAGCTAAGTGGACAATATACTTGGTCAGTTTTGCTTTGTTCTGATTTTCTTTCTTTTTTTTTTTTTTTGTATCGGGTCATTGGTGACCCCACTGTTTGCGCACCTCCATTCTAGTGACTAGAGGGGGAGCCTGAGTGAGTGGACACCCCCACCCTCACCACTGATGGGTTCTTCTGCCACACATGTGTACAGATACTCAGCCTAAGAGCAGGCTATGAAGGTAGTTTTGTTTTTAAATATGAGAAAGGGCAGGACAGGGCTGTAGAGAGGGAAAGAGAGTTTAAAAACAAAACAGGCCAAAAATGAAAGCCTGAGGTATAGCATAACAACCAACACTGGCATCTAGAAATCTCAGGCAGCTCTGAAAGCAAGAAGCTGAAGAGAGGACATTAACGTCAAACTCATATTAGGCTATAGATTTTTTTTTTTCTTCTCTCCCTCCTCTCCCTGTTCGGTGATTATAGACTGTAGTATTCAGCCTAGTTTTTTTTTTTTCTTTCTTTCTTTTTTTTAGCTGGTGCTGTTTTGCTGTTTTATACTCCCCCTTCTACATTTGGGGGACTCTCTTGCTCCCTATATTACACAAGAAGAGGCAGCAACTGCTGCCATATTGTTATTCTACAATCACACTCTATAAAACACCAAAACCCAGGCAAGAACCAATACCTACTGCCATATACCAGGGAGG